ACCTGCCTAACCCAGGATCTATGTCTTTCTCTGGCTACTCAAGAAGCTGCTTGTGTCTTCTTGGTCCCAATCTATTACCGCCATCTTAGGCCCAGCACCTTCCTTTGGCCACTTGAGTTCCCAAAGATGCAGATGCCTCCTCCTGAGATTCCAAGTCTCTCACTCAGTTCAAAACAAAGGGGCTTCATGACATTGAACAGCTGGTCCCTGAGCAGGTTTTTAATTTCTACTGAACACATGTCTTTTGTATCTTCTCGTCTTCTCCTTTCCTGAAGGATGAAGACAGGGGACTCATGTGCAAAAGAAAGGGTATCCAATTGCCCTTTGCCTGTTACTGCAATACCCTGGAGTTTTCCTTTTCCTTCATCTGTCACCAATTAGCATGCACAGATATAGTCTAGTCACAGAGACCACACAGAAAGAATTACCAAAGGAATGTTCAAGAAGATTCATATATTCAATTTTTTTTTTTTAATCTGTCCTTGAATCTGTCCTTTCTGTCCTGGGTGTCACAGACATACTGATCATTTTCATCACATATCTAATTCTCCCACATTCCCTCAAATTCCTACTGGGTTGTCTTTCAAAGTAAAATCTCTTCCATACTACCCATGTTCCTTGTTTCACTCCAGGGTCCTGCATCCTTTTGCCCTCTGTTCAAGCCACTTAGATTTCTCTTCTCTGTATTTTCTAATTCCCAAACCATTTCTGCATTTTAGGTTCTTGCTACTCAAAGTGTGGTCCCTGGACAAGCATTACCTGAGATCTAGTTAGGTCCTATCCCAAACGTACTGAATGAGGATCTGCATTTTAACAAGACCCCCACTTGATTCCTGGGCACATTAAAGTTTAAGAATCATGACTTTGCATTATTTCTTCCTAGAGCTGAAATTATTTTTCTTCTTTCTTGTTTCCTCTTCTGAACCTCTTCTTTTTCTGTGTACCAGACAACATTCATAATCATGTAAAGCAATCTCTGAAAACATTTTCCTAAGAAAACCCTTCTCAGATGTATAATTACATATCTCATTATTTTGCCACCTGTGTGTGAACTCAGGAATTCCACGGCAAGGTAATGTATATGTCATAAAACTTATCACAATAAATAGTATTGTGTTTTTTATACATAATGTTGCAGAAGATAATTCAAAAGTAGCAGCAGCAGGAAGAAATATTATACATATTATATCTTAATCTACATGAAAATGAACAATGGTAACCAGTATCTTCTCTATTTAACCATTTACTAGTAAGCTTCACTACCA